CCATTCAAATAGTTTAGATCTAGTCTTCTAACATCACAGCTTATATTTGCTGAGCAGCCTCTCTCTTGGTCAGTCTCACTCAGGTAAAGACATGTGCTAGATAAAGACGAGCTAGATCAACAAGGCCAATGGAAAGCCTGCAAACTTAACTGAATCTGGTCTTTGTAGGAACTACAAATGAGTCATCAATCCTGGGCTCTGTCAATGATCTGATTCTCAAGGTCAACATTCGTTTTCCTTTATAATAAAAACCCTTAGATGGACACGGTGGTGCATGCCTATAATCCCAGCATTTTGGAGGCTGAGGCAGCAGCATCACTATGAATTCAAGGCCAGCCTGAACTACATAGTGGGACCCTATTTTAAAAAACCAAAGCAAAACCTTTATTCTGGCAAATACAGAATTTATACTTTTTTTTAATCACCTAATCTCAGACTAAGACTTAACTAAAGGCTCATTCCCAGACTAAAATGCCTCAGCTGAAACAAGACATTTGTCCTAGCATTTTGACCTATACTCCAGTGGAACTGCAAATCTAGACACTTCTGAGTATGAGACAACCCAACAACTTATAAGAATCTCATTTCTAGAGCATGCATATGCATAATTTTCTGCTTTTAGACTGAATATTATAATTAGTAGATAAAATGATGATGTTCTTACCTGATGTCCACACATAAGATTCTGAGATGCCATCATGATGGCTTTCATTCCTGAAGCACAAACCTTGTTTATGGTGGTGCATGGAGTAGAAACAGGTAAACCTAAAACCAACATATATAATTTTTAGAAATACTCTAAAATAGAATAAAGTATGCTACTATAATCTTCAAATTTTCTTCTACCAATACCTATGCAAGTTATGTTACGCATTTAACATTTTATTTAAATTAAAATGACCTCTATTTTGTCATTTTGAATATTCTATGTAAAAAATAAAAATGTATTCCTGGTACCTGCACCCAACACTGCTTGCCTTGTAGGGGCCTGTCCTGCACCTCCTTGAAGAACATTACCCATGTATGCTTCTTTCACTTCTTCTTTTGGAATCCCTTTTAAAAACATCAAAAAAGCATTTCCATGTTTTATTCAATTTAATAATCAGTGATTACCTAATAGGATATTACATAGCAGGAATATCTGTCAGTTTTGTGTTTCATTCCTAACTACAGTACAAAGACTTTTACAAGGGAATGCAGAAATACAGGCATTATGTCATTTCTAAGTTACATATACAGTAAGTACAAAATAAATAGGTGTTCCACTGAATCATTCTGCCCCCAAACACAAAAAGCAAAGCACTTACTAACCTGCCTTTTCAATGGCTCTCTGAATTGCAATGGAACCAAGTTGAGTGGCTGACAGCGATGAAAGGCTGCCTAGAAAGGATCCAATGGGTGTTCTCGTAGCACTTGCTATAACCACTTCCTGGCCAGACAGAAGATGGTAAAAATTACTACAGATATTTCACCCAAATTATCTTTCATTAAATATTCACATATAAGAGGCTATTTTTATGAGTAGTTACCGAAGATAAATAATCTGTGTCTGATGAATGATTTAAGACCTAATAAAACCTAGAAAAAGGAACTATGAAAAACAAACATGAAACTCCTTCCTAGTTCTCCACAGGAGTTTTGAGGCCAGTACCTTAAGTTTCAATTCTATTGCTCAGTAAAAAAATTTAAGAAACAATCACTTTACCCTTGTTAACTGCATAATGAACAACCTTAACCAAAAGCTTCCTTACTGAAGGGAACTCTAAGATTAAAAAAAGGGAAATAAAAGCTCTCAAGTACTGTACCATAAAATCCCATTGTAACAATTCTCACACTTGTCTTACACAAACTCTTATTAAGCTTCTAGAATAATTACACAGAAAGATACTACTAATTTTAGAAGCCTTCTACAACAAAGAGAGGTCCTATCAGAAAGCACTAACCAGGTGATGGGATGATGGCCATTCTTGTACAATCCTAGCTGGTCAGTCCCTCTCTTCTAGAATCCTCGATGTGGCCTCTGCATTTGGCACACAAAATACACTAAGAGTCCCTGAGTAAAAAAAGAACACTGACTGCCTGGTTCTAAAGAGAAAGTTGTTTTGTAGCAGCAGGAATTATGCAGGAACTAACAAATTTGTTTATGATAATCTAGGAGTTTAACTTAACATTTCAATATTTAGTTATTCCTAACCACTGCATAATCCTGTGTTGACCCTAAAATAAGCTCAAGTCAGAGAATATTTTGTGTGCGTGTGTGTGTGTGACTGGAGATGGAGCTCAGGGCCTCACACATGCTAGATAAACACTCTACCACCAAGCTACATCCTCAGCCCCTAACCCAAGTCAAAAATGTGTAGATTTTTATTGACTACATTTTCTTTAAATTCTTGATATTTTAAGGCACAATTTAAATTTATACTTACATTCAAAGTAGGTTTTGATACATAATTTCGCTCCATGTGTCTTATTTCCTGTAATATAAATATTTGTTATAATGTAAAAAATATTAATGTACACAATTTCATACTTCTCAGTGATGGAATCAGTGATTTATTTCTGCCTCTACTTTTTTGGAGGTTTAGGGCAATGCTGGGGATCAAACCCAAGCCTTGTGCACGCAAAGCAAGAGCACTACCACTAAGCTACATCACCAGGCCCGTTCTGTGCTTTTATTTCCAAGTTTTCTACAATCTGCACATATCACTTTTATAAATCAGAAAAATGGCTACTTTGTAATAAATACTACTATTCTTTTTAACCTCATTGGAAATGTATGCTTTAACTTAATGAGTTTATCATCTTAAAACTTCTTTAAGTACAAGCTTTCTAAATTGCCATTTTGTGCAAAAAAAATTGCCATTTTGAGTTAAATCTAAGTTCAAAATGATATAATCTTAGTATATCACAATATTTTCATTGCATACATGCACACACAAGACACATACATATATATAAATTTATTTTAATCCAGGCGTGGTGGCACAGGCTTATATCCCAGCACTCAGGAGCCTGGGGTGGGAGGATCATGAGTTTGACACTAACATAGGCTACACGTTGAGTTCCAGGCCAACCTGGACTACAGCACGAGACCCGGTCTCAAAAAAAGATTTTGGGGGGGCCAGGGATTTAGCTCGATGCCGCCACCTGCCTTGCAAGCGCAAGGTCCCGAGTTCGAGCCCCGGTACAAAAAAAATTTTTTTTTCTTAAATAAAACTTTATTTCTCCCCATTTACTAACAAATGTCTCAGATTTATATGAGGGAAACACATCTCACATAAATATAGTCTCTATTGCCAGATAAATTATCTGTTAAGAAAGGGAAGAGGGGGCTGGAGGTATAGCTCGGTAGTAAGAGTGCATGTGTGTGTCCTAGCATGTGCAAGGTCCTGGATTCCACGTCAGCACCAAAAAAAACCTCAGCTCTTTCCACACCATTCTTATGAAACTCCCAGCAAGACACATTCTGAACATGTAGGGCATAATTCAGAGACCTACCTGATCTGAAACTGAACTATTTATAAGACAAAGAATAAAAAATTTTATCCTGTGAGGTCATTCAAAAAATGACAGCTTATATTTAGAACCTAACCTTACTGACAGTTGAAAGTTATAGTGGGAATCATATCTCACAAACAGAGCAAACAACCCCACAAATATCTAAGCTTTCAAAAGACCCAAGAATTTACCTTTTCACAGATTAAACGTGCTTTGTCCTCAATGAATGATTAAAACTTTCAATTTATAATCCAAAAGAAAGTAGATTTGACAAGTAGAGGTTATGAACAGGGATAGTCACAACTACTACAAAGTACCTCCCGAACTGGCTTTTAGAAACTGTCTGGATAAGGGGCCGGGGATTTAGCTCAGTGGTTTCACTGCCTGCTGCGCAAGTGCAAGGACCGGAGTTCGATCCCGGAAAAAAAAAAAGAAACTGGATGAAAAATATTTTTTAAAAATTAAGTACTTGGATGAGAAGAGATGCACACAAATGAATGCTTAAAGAACATGTTTTTCTAGGCAGAAGAACAGTTTAAAATAAACTTACTTTGACTGTTCAGATGATGGAATAAGTCATTTTTATGTGAAAACGCATGTAAACAACTTTACCATAAGAAATACTTCAGACTTGATTTTTGTTGTTTTGTTTGAGACAGGGTCTCACTATGTATTTCAGGCTGGCCTTGAACTCATGACAATCTTTCTGTCTTGGCCTCTGGAGTGCTGAGATTATTGGCTTAGATTAGGCCTGGTTTGGTTTGATTTTAAAATGTCAGTGTTACAAATATTCGATGTGACGTGTATTCCACAGAGCTGTTCACACTCTTTGTTGGGTCAGGGAGAAGTGACTAACATGTATAGAGTTATTTGGCCCTCCACTTGCTTAAGAAACATTTTGAGATCATTTACCTTAGAGCATTACAGTCATTTTTGTGATATGCAAAATATGGACCTTATACTCAAGCAGCATTATAATCTTCTAAGGGAGAAATTTTAAAATTACCTACATATATTCCTTAGAACTTACTGATAAGTACAAGAATGTTGTAATAAGCAAGATATCCCCTAGATTCAAGGTGAAAGATTTTAATACTTTTTTATTATTATTATTTTGTTTTTGTTTTTTTGAGATAGAGTCATGCTATGCACTTCAGGCTGGCCTTGAACTCACTACATAGCCTAGGCTGGCCTCTGAGATCCTGCCTCAGCCTCCTGAGCTCTGGAATTACAGGCGTATGCCACCACACCCAGCCAGAGGAAAAAGACTTGGTTCTAGTCAGTGATTTGATTTATTTTATTTTATTAGTGTATGTTTGCAATACATGCTAGTTATGCTCATTTTGGGGAACTGGTACATGTATACAATATATCTTGATCATTTTTTATCCCTTTACCCACCCCAACCTACCCCTCTCCCCAGTTCTCTTCCCCATTTCCCAAAAGTTTTTGATTCCTAGCTTCTCTCCTTTATTTTACTCTTTTATTTACTTGTATTTTAGGTTTCTCCTGTAAGAGAAAACACACAGTATTTTACTTTCTGTGTCTGATTTACTTCACTTAACAATACAGTCTCAAGTTCCTGGAATTCCACTGAAATCCTTCAGGTAGGAGTTCCACATGCATTATGTGTAAATTTCATGTTAACAAAATAAATGTTACTTATTGCTATCAGAGTAACCCATGTTTGTTCAGACCCTAAAATGAAACTTATCTGCTACCTCTGTCTATATCTGTACCCCCAACACACACTGTGCTAGGAATCTGATGCAGAGCCTGATAAGCAAGCCACATCCCCATCCCCTATACATGAAGCAAGCCACATCCCCATCCCCTATACATGAACTACTTAAAGCTTATCATTAGATTAGGAAGGTTTATGTTTGTTTTTACTCTCCTGAGCTTTACGTGTCTTCTCAGGTGACGGTGGCCCTGGCCAGTAGACATATGTGTGCTCAAGTAGGCAAGTCCCAGTGCATCTACTCAACAGATGTATGTTTGAAGATCAGCTGTGCAAAAGAAGCACACCCTTCACACATCATATACAGTAAATGGGCCTATTGCTTCTATATAACCTATTTATCTAAAAAGATGCTACCACATTATCTGTGCTCTAACTTTAAATAAAAAGTACCTACATATAGGATAGGCATGGTGTTGCACACCTGTAATCCCAGCACTCTGGAGGCTGAGTCAGGTGGATCACTGCAAGTTCAAGCTCAGCCTAAATTATATAGCAAGACCCTGTCTCAATACACCAGGGTGTCCTTGCTAAGGTCCTGTAGCTTTCCCCAATGAGAAATGTAATTGTGTTGTATACCTACAATGTACCAATAAAAGAATTTAATTTAAAAAAAAAAAGGTTCCTACATATAGTAAACATGGCTGTCATTACCTCTCAAAACATATTCCCTTTTTTTTTTGTACAGGGGATCCAACTTGGGACCTTTTGCTTGCAAGGCAGGCGGTGGAACCACTGAGCTAAAACCCCAGCCCCATAGTCCCTTCTTACAGGGCTCCAGAAGGTGTAACCCTACAAACTCACAAAGTGACTCCTCTGTTCCCCTCTAGCCAGAACTGATGAGACCAAGAATGGACTGGACTGACTGTAGCCGGCATCTAAGAGACTGGATCAGCTAGGTTGGTGGTGGGAACCTAAGCTGAAGAGTCACAGGAGCTGTGTTCAGAGAACAAGTGAAGGTGGTATACTACCAGAGTCCAAAGAAGACACCTCGGTATTCTCACTCAGGTTCTGGCAAGGCCAGCTGCACCTTATTTCCTGTTCTTGAATGTCCAAGAGTTCTTTTGTACCTCTCCAACAATTTCCCTTTCTGGGCTGGGGGTGGAGTGGAGGGGATGTAGATGTTCGTAGCATGTGTGAAGCCCTGGGTTCAATCCCCAGCACACGTGTGCGCTCATACATGCACACAAGCCTGAGCTAGTCTTGTGAGAGATTGTTGCTTACTTACTAAGCCACTTTTAAGTTTCTAGTGCAGTTTAGCTGAAGGTTCCCTTGATCTCTCCACTTTGCTTTGAATCCTATCTCCAGTTGCCTTTTCAAAGTAGCACGTCTTCAGTCATCATTTCCTCCTCACATCATTTCTCTCTTTTACTTCTAGATCACTCCATAAGCATGGAAAGTCCTCCCATCTGGAAAACAAGGGCCGAGACTGGCAACACAGGCCTGTAAGCCCAGCACTTGGGAGGCAGAGGTTGAAAAACCATGAGTTTGAGGCTAGCCTGGGCTGCCTAGCAAGTTCCTGTCTTACAAAACAAAACAAGTAAAAACAAATGTCCTTTGACCCACATTTCAGCTTAACTTTCACCTCATTTCTTAGTTTACTGTTCAATTCATTCAGAGTGACTTTTGTCTCTGCCACTTTACCACTGTTAGCTCTGATCAAGGTCAACATGTCTGTACAGCAAAATCAAAAAAACTCTTAACAGACTTTGAACCAGTGGTCTGTGAGCTCTGGAGATATCTCTGAAGTCATCAGTGCTAGGTTGAGAACTGTATGGCCTTCACACAAAAAGCCCCAGTGTGAATATTTATTTGTAAGCAAACAACAGTATTTTTATGGAACATATGTAAGCATACATATGACAATATATACTGAACAATAAAGAAAATTTATATACATTTATATATATATATGTATATATAAATGGTTCTCTTCACAATTCTGTGTGCTTCACCATACCAAGAAAAGCCATCAATATTTTTTATATACACACATTGGTACAAATACACACACACACACATATATATACACTAAAAACAAAAAAATACCTCACTATATTTCAACCCTTCAAGCAACACTGAACTCACCTTTCTTCTTTAGGGAGTATACAGAATAGTTAAGAGCCTGGACTTCCAAGCTGACTACTTTCACCCAAGTTATTTGGACTCACTTCACCTTGGGTTTCTCAGACACCCTCCACATATTGTGAGAATGAAATGGGGAAATGAGAATCACTATGGAAACCCTCTCTTACTGGTTTCCATTGTAAGACTATCTTGTGGTTTCCCTCCTGCCTCCCTAGTTATATTCTGTACCTTTAACATTTTACCTTCCCTTTCCCAACCTCCAAATGCTGGAATGCCCAGGACTTTGTTCCAGTCCCTTGATATCCAACTTCACTGCTTCCTTAGATAATCACAATCTGGTCTCAGTGCTTTAAGTGGCATTTATGTGTGGATGGTTTCCAAATTTCTCTCCAGTTTGGACCTCTTAATTGACCACCAGATACATGTATCCAAGTGCCAACTTTATAGTTTCAGCTGAATGTCTAACTAAGTCACCTGCCTCAATTTCTCCCTGTAGGAAACCAGTTTCTTCTCATTATTCTCTACCTCAGGTACACAAGCCAAAATTACCCTTTATCTCAGTCCCTAAAACCAAAATATTCTATTATAGATATTGTGAGTGCTCTGTCCAAACATACCTAAACTCTTCCATGCTGCTTCCATTTATACTACAGCCACCAAGTCGAAGCCACTCTCTTGCTCCTGTTTTCTACTACTTAATCTTGCTTCCCCTGACTCATCTCCACAGCCTACCCAGTTTTAGATAGTAAAGCAGGTCACATCACTCCCCTGCTTAAAATCCCTTGGTGGTTTTCCATTGATCTTGGAATGATATCCAAACCCTTTCTTTACCTTCTACAAGGCCTTGCAAGATCTGCCCCCTGGGTTCCCTTCCAAACACTTCCCTTCCACATCACTCTTCGTCTGGGCCAGCCACACTAGCTGCCTTTGTCCTGAACCCCGTCCCACCTAAGGATCTGGTCTGTACACTCACCAGCCACTGATGGCTACTATAAAAACACCACTCTGAGCTGGGTGTGGTGGCGCACTCCTGAAACCTGTAAACCCAGCACTCAGGAAGCTGAGGCAGGAGGATGGTCATGAGTTTGAGGCCAACCTGGGTAGCATAGTGAGTTAAAGGCCAGCCTGAACTACATAGCGAGACCCTGTCTCAAAAAACAAAAGTTCAAGTGGCTAATTCTAGGAAGGTGATTGAAGAGGTAGATACAAACAGGAATCTGGACTATTTTAAAGTTAAAAACAGCCATGGGCATCTATTACTGTCTTTTTACAGATGAGGATTCAGAAGCCTCATGGTCAAGCAGCTGCCCACAGTCACATGGCCAGCGAAAGGCAGAGTTGGGCTTCTAAATCCAGACAGTCTGACTCCAGAGCCTGCTCATTTTGGCTTCTACACTACAGTAAATATTTACTTTATTAAAAACAGTAATGAAATTTAAGAACCAAGACAATTACTCTATTCAAAGTATTGCATTGATTTTTAGTCATTATTTGCTTATATCCTTCACTGATCAAGACCATTGACACTAAATTTTTATAGCTCCTTTGTGAACCAACAGAAGACAAAAAATCCACAGGTAACATCTGTGTGTCAAAGGTACTGTAAAAATCAATGCAGTGACCCTTTTCAAGGAAATATTTTAAGAAAAGCAAATAAATCATTTTTAAACTTTTCAACTTCTTAGGATAGAGATTTGCAAAACTCAAAATGCTTTATGCATAGTATCTATAAAAGAAAAATTCCTTTACATAAACCACATCTCAAATTTGCATTTCTTCATGACTTTATGAATGTCTCTGCATATTAATTATGCTAATTTCAGTCAAAGTTTTTCATTTTAGGTATTCGTTTGTTTTATGGATTTCATCTATGAAACTCCTTTGTTAAAATCTTTTTTTTTTTTTTTTTTGGTACCAGGGATCGAACTTGGGACCTTGAGCTTGAGAGGCTGGCATCGGAACCACTGAGCTAAATCCCCGGCCCTTGTTAAAATCTTGTATGATCACTCTAGTATGTTAAATTTTGACACTGTTGACAAATTGTTGATATCAGTAATCTCTGTATGGGTTGAATTGTTTTTGGGTTTTTTGGGGGGGTTGTTTTGTTTTCATGAGACAGGACCTTGCTTTATAGTTCAGGATGGCCTTGAACTCATTATGTAGCCCAGGCTGGCCTTGAACATGATGATCATCCTGCCTCAGCCTCTCTCAGCTGTACACCTGGCTATACAGGTTAAATTGTGTCCTCCCAAAAAAGAAGCAGCAATAACCCCCAGTACCTCAGAACTTCACTTTGTTTGGAAATAGGGTCTTTACAGAGGTAATCAAGTTAAAATGAGATCATCAAGGGCAGACACAAAAGAGAGTTAAATTATAGAAAAAGAAAACTTGGTGTGGTGGCGCACGCATATAACCCCTGGTGAGTAGGAAGCCCCTAAGGAGGAAGAGGGAGCAGGGCCACGTTGCCACCCCGATAGTCTCCAGACTATAAGAGAGCACACTTCCACCACTTTAAGCTGCCCAATCTGTGATATATGCAGCCCTAGGAAACTAATAAACTTTCCCTCCTGAACAGATTGCTCCTGTAGCATTCAGGGGACACAACACTGCCATGGTTTCCTGAGTCACTGTGCTTTGCCTGTCCCTGAAATGCTCCAGATAAGCTCATGGATGTCACTGCCATCTATGATGACTCCCAAATCCGCCTTTCACCTAGTTCTCTTCTGTATCAGACCGACCCTTTCATCTAAACAGACAACCCCAAAGACAAGTCCAAAATTCAGCTCATCACTTTCTACCCCAAAATCTGTTCCTCAGTGAAAACCTCCCCTGGCCACCAACATGCTCAAGGCTGGGCCCTAAAAATTAGACGTCACTTCTGAGTCTCAGCCCCTCAGAACCGGTCAGTTCAACACATGCTAACATATTCTCATTGCTTGAACCTGTCCACATCTGTGTTAATTACCTCACCACATTACTATCACTACTTGTTTGATTACTGTAACATTCTGACTGTTCCTTTGGCCTGCAGAAAAATAAAGGCCCAGGGACTGAAGCTAGAGAATGTACAGAGAGAGAGGGAAAATAAGAAAGGAGAAAAAAAAAAAAAATGAGTGCATCCACCGGGATTCAACCATGAAAACAAAGAATTCCATGTGAAACAATTTAGTGCAGAGAATAAAATACACAAGTGACAAACAGCTAAGACCAAGGGATAGTCAGTCAATAAGGAAATCAGCAACAGGAAGGCACTGGCACACTTAAGCCGTTAAAGACCAAAAGAAAAAGAATATAAACTGGGCATGGTGGCACGAACCTGTAATCCCAGCACTTGGGAGGCTGAGGAAGGAGAACTACAAGTTTGAGGCCAGCCTGGGCTACATAGCAAGTTCAGGGCAAGCCTGAAATACAAAAGGAGACCCTGTCTCAAAAAAACAAAAACCAAAAAAAGGAGAAGAATATAGAGAAGACCCCAAAGCCAAGGAATCGGAGAGAATAAGGGTGGAGAATGAAATACTTGAAACACAACCTGCAACCATCAGTCCCACAGCCACACAGAATGGGGTGGGTGGGTGGGGGGAACAAGTTTGGGAGCACAGAGCTCAAGAATGACACATTTCAAGAATTTCTGTAAAAGTCTGAGTATTAGAATCAGAATAGATGCTGGGGATGTAGCTTATGTAACTTAGTAGTACAACACCTGCCTAGCACACACAAGGCCCTTGGTTGATTCCTCAGCCCTGCAGGGGGTGGGGTAGAGTGAAACCAGAATAAAACTAGATCAAACCACAGAACCAGAGACTGAAGGACCAGGCAGTCTATAGTGTCAAGTGTAAAAGTTGAGAAGAAAAAAAAACAAAGAAAATCACCGATTTTTTTTAGCTGAGTAGCACAAATTTAACTGCAAAGGGTTAAAGAGAAAACGACAAAGTAAATAAAAAGTGATGAGTAGAGACTACTCCTCTGACCAGAGAAAAGTGTTAGAGCTAGAGGGACAACAAACTCCAGTAAAGTCTGTGAAGATTTGTTGCCCATAAGGGAAACCTGTATTTTGAAGGCAAAGATGATTACTTAATTCAAGTAACATCCAATGCATCTGACTGCTAGAGTGCAATAAAATGAACGTGGGCTGATGAAGTAACTCAATGCCTTAGCATGCACTAGGATCAGGGATCAAGCTCCACTCCACTCCCCAAAAAAGAAAAAATGCCACATCATATGCTGTAGAACCTACAGGTTCATTTATTTACTGATTTACTTATTCATTCATTCACTCATTTTTTTTTTTTTTAAGACCCAGGTTCTCACTATTTTGTTTAGACTGGCCCAGAATTCCTGGGATCTAGAGACCCTAACCACTTCACTCAGCTCAAGTTCATTTTTCTCATCTGGAACATGTGTGTTTGATTTTAAGCTCTAAAACATAAGAAGGTTCTGTAATTTGTTTTTTACATACCTAGAGTACTGTATCTAGGTCACCTCATTCACCTAGTCAACTCAAAATAACCTAATTACATTTCTGGGATTTCTTTTGTTTTTGTTTTTTTGGTACTGGGGTTCGAACTCGGGTCCTTGAGCTTCCAAGGCAGGCGGTGGAACCACTGAGCTAAATCCTCGGCCCTCTTTGATTTCTTAAATCATTCCATGAAACTAATACATATGCTGATTAACAACTCATCTTTCCCAGAAATACTCTATTTTATGGAATGAAATGTTGCCCAACGCTAAAATAAAAAAATAAAGCCAATTAAGATCTTTTTAAAAACTGAAAAATACATTTTTTCTGGAAACTTACTCCTTCTGACTTTCCCATTACCTCTGTCACCAGAATTTTTTATTTATTTATTTATTTTTTAAAATAGGGTCTTAGCAAGTTACCCAGGCTGGCTTTGAACACCTCAGCTCAAGGGATCCTCATGCCCCAAGCTTCTGAGTAGCTAGGACTACAAATCCAGACAACCAAGCTCAGTCCACCCAGTATTAATTTTACATATCTTCTTAATCCATTGGCTTTTCACCCTCATTCCTTAACTGTTGGGAGCAATGCTACATAATTCTAGGGAAAAATCATTTGAGTAGGCCTAGTTCTCCTGCCTACAGGCCAGCAATAACACTCCA